AGGTTCAAGCGATTCCCCTACCTCAGCCTCCTGAGTAGCTGGGATTACAGGCACGTACCACCATGCCCAGCTCATTTTTGTATTTTTGGTAGAGACGGGGTTTCACCATGTTGGTCAGGCTGGTCTCGAACTCCTGACCTTATGACCCACCCGCTTCGGCCTCCCAAAGTGCTTGAATTATAGGCATGAGCCACCGTGCCTGGCCTAATTTCTTCATCTTTCAAATGGGAAAATGCAGTGTGAGGTGTGATGAACTCAGGCTTGGATTCAGAAGGTCTTGTATCATTCTACTCCTTGCTCAGCTATGGACCAGCTGTGTGAGCTGAGATGAAGAGCTGCACCTCTGTGAGCCTTGGCTGTCTATTCTGATGCGTGTTGGCATCATTCTGCTTCCTATGGTGGCTGGGGATTCCCTGGGACCATGTGTGCCTGCACTGTGGTCGCTGTAGTTGGCAGGATAGGAGGCTGTGTATTAAAATGTTTAGGAGCTTAGGTTCTGGAGTCAGACTGCAACAGGCCTAGTTCAAATTCCAGCTCTGATAATTACTCCCGGTGAGATCTTAGGAAAATCAGTTTCTTCTCCAAACCTCAGTTTTTGTTTTGTTTTGTTTTGTTTGAGACGGAGTCTTGCTCTGTCGCCCAGGCTTGAGTGCAGTGGCATGATCTCGGCTCACTGCAACCTCTGCCTCCCAGGTTCAAGCGATTCTCCTGCCTCAGCCTCCCCAGTAGCTGGAATCACAGGCATGCGCCACATGCCCAGCTAATTTTTTCGTATTTTTAGTAGAGACGGGGTTTCACCATGTTGGCCAGGCTGGTCTCGAACTCCTGGCCTCAAAGAATCCACCTGCCTCATCCTCCCAAAGTGCTGGGATTACAGGCATGAGCCAATGCGCCCGGCCAAACTTCAGTTTTTGTATCTGTCAAATGAGCATAATAACAGTAAATATCTGATAGAGTTTACTGTGAAGAGTCAATCAGATGATGCAGGTAAAGCACTTAAAACTGGTCTGGGGCCTGGCACAGTGGCTCATGCCTGTAATCCCAGAAATTTGGGAGTCCAAGGTAGGAGGATCACTTGAGCCCAGGAGTTTAAGTCCAGCCTGGGCAACATAGTGAGACCATCTCTACAAAATAATAATAAATAAATTAATTAATTAGTGAGGTATGGTGTTGTGCACCTGTAGTCCCAGTGAATTGAGAGGCTAATGTGGGAAGATCCTCTGACCCCAGGAGGTCAAGACTGCAGTGAGCCATGATCCTGCCACTGTGCTCTAGCCTGGGCAAGAGAGCAAGACCTTATCTCAAAATAAAAAAGCAAAGATATTATAAGACTGATTTTTAAAAATACCTTTCTCTAGATCGGGTGCAGTAGCTCATGCCTGTAATCCCAGCACTATGTGAGGCTGAGGCAGGAAGATCACTTGAAGTCAGGAGTTCGAGACCAGCCTGGCCAACATTGTGAAACCCCGTCTCTACTAAAAATACAAAAATTAGCCGGGTGTGGTGGCAGGTGACTGTAATCCCAGCTACTTGGGAGGCTGAGGCAGGAGGATGGCTTGAACCCAGGAGGCGGAGGTTGCAGAGAGCCGAGATTGTGCAACTGCACTCCAGCCTGGGCGACAGAGCAAGACTCTGTCTCAAAAATACATACATACACACATACATACATACATACATACATACATACATAAAATACCTTTTTCTACATGTCAGTCCATTTTCCCAAAACCAGGGCCAATGTGACCAGACTCCATCCCCATCTACAAGATCAATCCTACTTAATCATAGTGTAGCTTGAAGGTTGGACTCTCACCACAGCAGGGTTCACAGCAGGGTTCGAGTCCCTGCAATGCCCGTACCTGCTGCGGGACCTGAAATAAACGACTTCAGGCCGGGCGCGGTGGCTCACGCCTGTAATCCCAGCACTTTGGGAGGCCGAGGCGGGCGGATCACAAGGTCAGGAGATCGAGACCACGGTGAAACCCCGTCTCTACTAAAAATACAAAAAATTAGCCGGGCGCGGTGGCGGGCGCCTGTAGTCCCAGCTACTCAGGAGGCTGAGGCAGGAGAATGGCGTAAACCCAGGAGGCGGAGCTTGCAGTGAGCCGAGATTGCGCCACTGCACTCCAGCCTGGGCGACAGAGAGTCCGTCTCAAAAAACAAAACAAAAAAAAAAACAAAAAAAAACAAAACAAAAACAAAACAAAACAAAAAGGCCGGGCGCGGTGGCTCACGCCTGTAATCCCAGCACTTTGGGAGGCCGAGGCGGGCGGATCACAAGGTCAGGAAATCGAGACCATGGTGAAACCCCGTCTCTACTAAAAATAGAAAAAATTAGCCGGGCGCAGTGGCTGGCGCCTGTAGTCCCAGCTACTCGGGAGGCTGAGGCAGGAGAATGGCGTGAACCCGGGAGGCGGAGCTTGCAGTGAGCCGAGATTGCGCCACTGCACTCCAGCCTGGGCGACAGAGCAAGACTCCGTCTCAAAAAAAAAAAACAAAAAAAAAAAAAAAAAAAAAAAACGACTTCACCTCTTTGGCCCTCAGAGGTTAACCAGGCATAGTAATCGCCTCCCTCACGGGGTTATTTAGGTTTCAACGAGTTGATGCACAAGCGTAGCACATGGAAAGGGCTGGATAAACGCGAGGTGCTGTTACTCCCACCACAGCGCCAGTCCTTCTCCCCTTTTTACTTTACTTTTTATTTTTATTTTTTGAGATAGAGTCTTGCTCTTTCGCCCAGGCTGGAGCGTAGTGGCGCCATCTTGGCTCACTGTAACTTCCGCCTCTCGGGTTCAAGCAATTCACCTGTCTCAGCCTCCTGAGTAGCTGGGATTACAGGCGTCCCCCACCACGTCTGGCTAATTTTTGTATTTTTAGTAGAGACGGGGTTTCACTATATTTGTCAGGCTGGTCTCGAACTCCGGAGCTCAGGTGATCTGCCCGCCTCGGCCTCCCAAAGTGCTGGGATTACAGGCGTGAGCCACCGTGCCCGGCCCCTTCCCCCATTTTAGCGGTTTCGCTCCCTATTGGGGCCAGGGACGCCTCAGGCTGTCTCTGTCAAGACCTACAGCTCTGGCTGTTGTCCCAGGCTCTTCCGCGAGGTGCTCTCCTGCCTCCTGACCACCCCCATTCCTCCCCGCTCGAACTCCTCAGCGAGCGGCTGCGAAGGACGCGCCAACACTCCGCGTAGCGGGAAGGGACCGAAACCTCATCACAGCCTGAAATTGCTGCGCTAAACTCCCGCCCCGCTGCCCTCTGGTCAGTTTAAAGCGAAGACGAGCCTTAGGGCCAGTCAGAGGCGGCAGCGGAGGAGCCATGCCCGCCTCCTTGAGGCGCCCTGGCGTCTCATTGGCTGTGCTTGAGAATGAATCCCGGGATAAGCCGCTTAGAAAGGAGCGGAGCCAGCCAATCAGCGGTGCAACCGCCGCGGGGGCCGGGCCAGAAGGCCCGCAGACAAGCACCTCGGAAGATTGGCAAGGGGCGAGCTCGCAGCTTGTCAGCCCCGAAGCCCTGCCCAGGGGGAAAGCCTGCTGGAGGGAGTCTAATCCCCGGGCCAGTTAATGTTGGGGCAGCGCAATCGGCCGTTCCCTCTGCGGTGGGGTGGTGGGCGGGAGTGCTGACACGTCCGCGCGCCGTTACTCCTGGCTGAGCATACAGTCGAGGTGGCAGTGGGAATTGGAAGTGCGAGTGTCACACTGCCAATCACGGGGCAAGGTACTGCCCCCTCTTGTGTCTTCCTTGTCCCTGTACACGTCCAGGCGAGGCAGAGTGAGCTGTGCCAGCAGTCGTAGTGGAGTGGGACAAGAGGACAAGAGGAGAGAAAAGGGAGCTGTCCACAGGCACCGAAGCCTGGCTGACTTTTTTTTTTTTTGAGGCGGAGTCTCGCTCTGTCTCCTAGGCGGAGTGCAGTGGTGCGATCTCGGCTCCCTGCAATCCCGGGGTTCAAGCGATTCTCCTGTCTCAGGCTCCCAAGTAGCTGGAATTACAGGTGCCCGCCACCACGCTCAGCTAATTTTTGTATTTTTAGTAGAGATGGGGTTTCACCATGTTGGTCATGCTGTTCTCGAACTCCTGACTCCAGATGATCCGCCCGCCTCAGCCTCTCAAAGTGCTGGGATTACAGGCGTGAGCCACCGCGCCCTGCCTGGCTGGCTCTTTTATTTTATCTTTATTTATTAGAGACAGGGTCTCACTATGTCACCCAGGCTGCAGTGCAGTGATGTGATCATAGCTCACTGCAGCCTCGACCTCCTGGGCTCAAGGGATCCTACTACCACCTGGACCTCTCAAAGCGCTGGGATTACGGGCATGAGACACAGTGCCTGGCCTTGGCTTGCTCTTATGGGCCTCCAGGCCAATCAGGTGTGGCGGCAGCCTACACACCCCTACACACTTCCCAGATGGTAAAGGGTTGAGAGAAAGGTGACAGGGTTTGCAAATGGGAGCTACTTAGGGAGGCAAAATAGAAGCAAGAAAGGCAGGTCAGGCACGGTGTCTCACGGCTGTAGTCCCAGAATTTTGGGAGGCCCAGGCGGGAGGATTGCTTGAGCCCAGGAGTCCCAGGCTGCAGTGAACTATGATTGCACCATTGCACTCCAGCACGGGCAACGGAGGGAGACCCTGTTCATAAAATAAAAATGAAATAATTTTTTTTTTTTTTTAAAAAAAAGGACAGTGGTACTCCGGAGCACTTGCTGAGGGAGCCTCCAGGGCTGTTCAGGTAAGGGAGAATCAGGGTCCAGTCTCTTCATGGAGAGAGTGGGAAAGGGCAGACTCCACAGCCAATCAACGCTGGAGCCCGGCTGGAAATCAATGAAATCTCAGCCTAAGAGGCCTGAAGCCTACGGACCAATGAGACTCAAGGCCCTGCCTCTTCACAGCCAATCAGCTGCAGGTCAGAGACAGACGCGCGGGAGTGGCGCTGTCCTAGGTGCCTCCCATGCTGCCCAGCGTGCTCAGCTGGCCTGAGCGGGAGAGTGCGACCCGCGCTGCAGCCAATCAGCGTCCGCCTCAGGATCTGGGGGTGACCACGTGCGGGAGCCTTGCGTCCCTGGCCTCGCTCCACTCCCCACTTTTAACGGTCACTCGGCCTTGAGCCATCCTGAGTGTATGTGAGGCTGAAAGGGAAGGAGGAACAGGGTCTGGGCCGGTGAGTGCCATAGTTTTTCTTTACTTTCTTGGGCTTGGGCCTGGCCCAGGCAAAGCTGGGGTGTGGGAGTTTGGCCCCGTTGATGATTGGGAAGTGCGGGTTGAGGGCTTTAGCCCTTAGGGCTTTCCTCTGTCTTTGAGAGGCTGGAAATGCAGCCTCCTGGCCACCTTTAGGCCTAGGTTTGGCAGAGGCCAAGCCAGCTTGCCCTCTGGGTTGGTCCACGGCCCCTGAGGCCAGCCTGAGTGCGAAGGGTGTTGTGGGGAAGTTGCAGGCCCTTAGCTCTGCACAGGGTCATTGACCATGAGGTATGGCCTCTGGACAATGAGAGGTTACGAGGGGTCTCTGGACTGAGCCTGAATCTGGTGACTGAAAGGAGAGGCCTGAGGATCTCCAAAGGTTATGTAGGGGCTGGGCACGGCGGCTCATGCCTGTAATCCCAGCACTTTGGGAGGCTGAGGCAGGTGGATCATTTGAGGTCAGGAGTTTGAGACCAGCCTGGCCAACATGGAGAAACTCTGTCTCTACGAGGTTTCCAAAAAAAATTACCTGGGCATGGGGGCACATGTCTGTAATTCCAGTTACTCAGAAAGCTGAGGCAGGAGCACAGCTTGAACCCGGGAGGTGAAGGTTGCAGTGAGCCGAGATTGTGCCATTGCACTCCAGCCTGGGCGACAGAATGAGACCCTGTCTTAAGAAAAAAAAAAAAGAAAAGGAAAAAAAAAGTTACGTAGAAAGTCACTGGCCAAGAGATGAAACTAGTGTTCACTTGAAGGTCTTCTGGGGTCTTTGGAGCCAGCCTGGGCTGGGAGTGAATGTTCTGGACTCCAGGTTGAGATGTTCTTGGGAGATTTCCCAGTATGGGGTCCAGGTTGGATGATGTGGCCAAGAGGTTAGGCCAGTAATCCTCTGGAGATTCTAGGGAGAAGGGTTCTGAATCTCAGCCAAGCTGTTTGCCCTGGATGAAGTATTATTACCCTGTGGTGGCTCTGTACAGAACTGGGATTGGGTGGCCGGGCGTGGTGGCTCACACCTGTAATCCCAGCACTTTGGGAGGCTGAGGTGGGCGGATCACCAGGTCAGGAGCTCGAGACCAGCCTGACCAAGATGGTGAAACCCTGTCTCTACTGAAAATACAAAAATTAGCCGGGCGTGTGGCAGGCACCTGTAATCCCAGCTACTCAGGAGTCTGAGGCAGGAGAATCACTTGAACCCGGGAGGCAGAGGTTGCAGTGAGCCGAGATCATGCCATTGCACTCCTGCCAGGGCAACAGAGCAACACTCTGTCTCAAAAAAAAAAAAAAAAAAAAAAAAAAAAAAAAAAAAAGCCGGGTGTGGTGGCTTAAGCCTGTAATCCCAGCACTTTGGGAGGCCGAGACGGGCGGATCACGAGGTCAGGAGATCGAGACCATCCTGGCTAACACGGTGAAACCCCGTCTCTACTAAAAACTACAAAAAACTAGCCGGGCGAGGTGGCGGGCGCCTGTAGTCCCAGGTACTTGGGAGGCTGAGGCAGGAGAATGGCGTGAGCCCAGGAAGCGGAGCGTGCAGTGAGCCGAGATTGCGCCACTGCACTCCAGCCTGGGCCGCAAGCGAGACTCTGTCTCAAAAAAAAAAAAAAAAAAAAATTAATTAAAAAAAAAAGAACTGGGATTGGGTCATGTCTGGAGCTTTTCAGTCTCCCTGTTCCACTCTTTCCCGTGCCTGTTCTGATCATTCCCGGAAGATGAAGATATCAGGCTGTAGGTGTGGGACAGGTGCATGGGGAGGATGACGTCATAGTGGAGCACAGGAAGAGGTGTGTGAGATACTCTACTCTTTAGGAAATCACCCAGGTTGGGGCAGAGCGTGGTGGCTCACGCCTGTAATCCTAGCACTTTGGGAGGCCAAAGCAGGTGGATCACCTGAGGTCAGGAGTTCAAGACCAGCTTGGCCAACATGGTGAAACCTCATCTCTACTAAAAATGCAAAAAATTAGCCAGGCATGGTGGATGCCTATAATCCCAGCTACTTGGGAGCCTGAGACAGGAGAATCACTTGAGCCCACAAGGCAGAGGTTGCAGTGAGCCGAGATCATGTCACTGCACTCCAGCCTGGGCAACAAGGGCAAAACTCTGTCTCAAAAATAAATAAGTAAATAACATAAAATAAAAGGAAACCACCCAGGCTGTCTTTATTGATGATCTTTTTATACTCATGGCACAGGGTGTTGATACCTAGTTTCATTCAGCTCTTCAGTGGTATTTATGCTTTCGGAGTACCTTCAGTACACCCAGAGTTCTTTAACCAGGGGTGAGGGTGCAAGGACTGGTTTATGAGTGGACTTCAAGGAAGTCTAACCCCCAAACCAGTTAATATTGGGGCAGCTCAATTGGCCATTCCCTCTATGGTGCAGTGGCGGTTGGGGGTGCTGGCACGTGAAGTGTACAGTTAAACCCAGCTCAGGAGACAGCCGCCAAGCATGGTGGCACATGCCTGTAATCCCAGCTACTGAGGAGGCTGAGATGGGGGAATGACTTGAGCCCAGGATTTCGAGACTGCAGTGAGCCATGATTGCACCACTGCACTCCAGGCTGGGTGACAGACCAAGACTGTCTAAAAAAAAAAAAAAAAAAAAAAAAGAACAATTAATGGTATGCATGTATATTATGAGGAGGGGAGGGCAAAGAATAAGCAAGAGGATAGTTAACCTGTCCAGCCATGAGGCTCAGAGTAATCTGTCAATGTCTTGTCATGCATTCGTATACCAAGTGGTATGAGTGTCTACTATTTTCTTTTCCTTTTTGTTTTTTGTTTGTTTGTTTTTTGTTTTTGTTTTTTTGAGACGGAGTCTTGCTCTGTTACCAGGCTGGAGTGCAGTGGAATAATCTCGGCTCACCGCAACCTCCACCTCCCAGGTTTAAGCAATTCTCCTGCCTCAGCCTTCCAAGTAGCTGGAATTACAGGCACGTGCCACCACGCCCAGCTAATTTTTGTATTTTTAGTAGAGACGTCGTTTCACCGTGTTGGCCAGGATGGTCTCGATCTCCTAACCTTGTGATCCGCCCACCTAGGCCTCTCAAAGTGCTGGGATTACAGGCGTGAGCCACCGCTCCCAGCCTGTGTCTACCATTTTCTAATGTCAGCAGTTGGTCCCAGGCTGGGTGGCTCACGCCTGTAATCCCTGCACTCTGGGAGGCCAAGGCAGGTGGATCACTTGAGGTCAGAAGTTTGAGACCAGCCTGGCCAACATGGTAAAACCTCATCTCTACTAAAAATACAAAAATTAGCCGGGCGTCGTGGTGCATGCCTGTAATCCCAGCTACTCGGGAGGCTGAGGCAGGAGAATCGCTTGAACCTGGGAGGCAGGGGTTGCACTGAGCCAAGATCGTGCCACTGCACTCCAGCCTGGGCGACAGAAGGAGAGTCTGTCTTAAAAAAAGAGGAGTTGGGGCCGGGCGCGGTGGCTCAAGCCTGTAATCCCAGCACTTTGGGAGGCCGAGACGGGCGGATCACGAGGTCAGGAGATCAAGATCATCCTGGCTAACACGGTGAAACCCCGTCTCTACTAAAAAATACAAAAAAAAACTAGCCGGGCGAAGTGGCAGGTGCCTGTAGTCCCAGCTACTCGGGAGGCTGAGGCAGGAGAATGGCGTGAACCCGAGAGGAGGAGCTTGCAGTGAGCTGAGATCCGGCCACTGCACTCCAGCCTGGGCGACAGAAGGAGACTCTGTCTTAAAAGAAGAGTTGGTCCCATGGCTGACACTCTCAACCTGATGGTGACTCCCTAAGAGATTTAGAACCATTGGAATAAAGCGGGCTCCTATATTATTTATGGGGCCCGGGCGAGATGACAGAGACTCCCTCTTTTCTTCCCACGCCTGGTGTTGGCCCATACTTCAAGGTGTCTCACATTCTAGCCTGCACATCCCAGCTCAGTCTACAAATCCCTTACACAAAATCAGGGTCTAGCATGTGCGTACATCAGTCAGAGTCCATTCTCATGAATACAGGCTGGGGTTGAGTCCTGTGTAGGGGGCCTCAGAGTCATTTGGTCCAGGAAATCCCGGGTGCTGAGTTCTGAGAGCACGGTCCAGAAGTGAGGTGGGAGCTCACAGTTCCCAGTAGGCACTTTCTAGATGCCTTTTGACTCAGCCTATGCGAAGGGATACAGCCAGAGGAGGTCCAAGTGGGACCCTTTGCCCAGGTTTAAGTCAACACTAGTATTCTGTACTGGTCTTGAAACAGCCCCTGTGAGGAAACTGAGGGTCTTGGAAGAGTTAGCTCTATATGAGCGCTGAAGAGAAGGGCCATTCACTGTGAATGGATATAGTGAAACCTGTTTTCTGACTTCTAGTCTAGTTCTTTTCCAGTTAGTCTACAAAGGGTGTGCTATGAAGGGGTCTCTATGACCTAGATTCAGCTCACCTGGGTATGACTATATCTGCTTCTTGGGCACAAATTTAAGGGAAAAAGGAAACTAATTCACTCCTTGTGGTGTCTCTTTTCTGGAAGTCTTGGATGTCCTTAATTAGAAAGAAAGACTGAACTTTTTTTTTTTTTTTTTTTTTTTTTTGAGACGGAGTCTGGCTCTGTTGCCCAGGCTGGAGTGCAGTGGCCGGATCTCAGCTCACTGCAAGCTCTGCCTCCTGGGTTCCCGCCATTCTCCTGCCTCAGCCTCCCGAGTAGCTGGGACCACAGGTGCCGCCACCTCGCCCGGCTAATTTTTTGTGTGTTTTTAGTAGAGACGGGGCTTCGCCGTGTTAGCCAGGATGGTCTCGATCTCCTGACCTTGTGATCTGCCCGTCTCGGCCTCCCAAAGTGCTGGGATTACAGGCTTGAGCCACCGCGCCCGGCCTATTTTTTTTTTTTTTTTTTTTTTTTTTTTGAGGCAGAGTTTCATTCTTGTTGCTCAGGCTGGAGTGCAATGGCGCGATCTCGGCTCACTGCAACCTCCGCCTCCCAGGTTGAAGCGATTCTCCTGCCTCAGCCTCCCGAGTAGCTGGGATTACAGGCATGTGCCGCCAAGCCCAGCTAATTTTTTGTATTTTTAGTAGAGACATGGTTTCTCCATGTTGGTCAGGCTGGTCTTGAACTCCCAACTTCAGGTGACCCGCCTGCCTCAGCCTCCCAGAGTGTTGGGATTATAGGCGTGACCACTGCGCCCAGTGAAAGAGTGAACATACTTAAACTTCATGTAAGATTTGGATAATCATTCTTAATCTATATAAAATGCTGTGGGGAATTTAACCACCTTCATTTGTGGAAAGAGATGGGTTCATGGGAAAGTGGCGAGTTCACATAATTTTTCTAAATCGAATGTTATTCAACTTGGCTTGGGAAGAGGGCTTGATATTTAAAATAAGTGAGATAGAAGGAAAACTTTTTCACAAAACAAATGATCATCCCTCTCATTGGTCTATTCTGATGGTTTGATTTTAATTATAATATTTGAGGAGAATTGGTATTTGTGTTGCTGTGTTGACCTTGTTACATCAAGCTGGGTTGTGCCTGAAGTTCATGACACAAGGATTTCTGGGAAGCTCTGACTTTGTAGCCAGGGTGTGCCCCGAGCCCCTTGCACATTTTCCCCTTAGTGTCCCATTGGTCAAGCCTATCAGTAAGAATAAGAAATATCAGATTTCAGGCCAGGCGTGGTGCCTCACACCTGTAATCCCAGCATTTTGGGACGCCAAGGCGGGCAGTTCATGAGATCAGGAGTTCGAGACCAGCCTGGCCAGCACGGTGAAACCCATCTCTACTAAAAATACAAAAAATTAGCCTGGTGTGGTGATGTACGCCTGTGATCCCAGCTACTCGGAAGGCTGAGGCAGGAGAACCACTTGAACCCAGGAGGTGGAGGTTGCAGTGAGCCGAGATTGTGCCACTGCACTCCAGCCCAGGCAATAGAGCAAGACTCTGTCTCAAAAAAAAAAAAAAAAAAAGATTTCAAATTTTATTTGGTAATACCGAGTATCAGGCCAGGCATGTAGGCTTATGCCTGTAATCCCAGCACTTTGGGAGGCTGAGGTGGGTGGATCACCTGACATCAGGAATTTGAGACCAGCCTGGCCAACATGGTGAAACACCATCTCTAATAAAAATACAAAAAATTAGTCAGGCATGGTGGTAGGCGCCTGTAATCCCAGCTACTTGGGAGGCTGAGGCAGGAGAATTGCTTGAACCCGGGAGGCAGAGGTTGCAGTAAGCCGAGATTGCACCACTGCACTCCAGCCTGGGCAACAAGAGTGAAACTCTGTCTCAAAAAAAAAAAAAAAAAAAAAAGTAATGTAAGTATTAAAAACGACTGAGAGGCAGATATCATATCTCCTTTTCTTACATACTCACTTTCCAACCATGCCCTACCTAATCTCTCTACTTACTCTACCCTCTGGCAGGACACAGGCTTGCGTCCGTATAACCTGTAGTTTCCTTGCTCTTCCCAGAGAGACAACTGCAGATGATTACTACCGAGTCAGCCAGGAAGAGGAAGAGGGGCAAGGCTTTTGAGTCTAGGGAGGGGGAGTCCTTTTAAGAACAGCAACAGACCAGGCACGGTGGCTCACGCCTGTAATCCCAGCAGTGGACCACCTGAGGTTAGGAGTTCGAGACCAGCCTGGCCAACATGGTGAAACCCCATCTCCAGTAAAAATACAAAAATTAGCTGGGTGTGATGGTGCGTGCCTGTAACCCCAGCTACTTGGGAGGCGGAGGCACAAGAATTGCTTGAACCCAGAGGCAGAAGATGCAGCGAGCCGAGATGGCGCCACTGCACTCCAGCTTGGGTGACAGAACAAGACTCTGTTTCAAAACAAAAACAAAACAGCACCAGCAGCGTCCCTACTCTTCCAAGTCAAAGTGCCGTCTGCTTCTGCTTCTGCCATCTGTGCTCAGTGGAGGATGGCTTGGGTTGCACTGTCAAGGCTAGAGAAGGGCTCAGGGTGTCATCAGCATAAGGGTTGCAGTGCAGAGGGCCCTGGAGATAACTCTAGGAGGCGATCTCTAAGGGGATATCCTTAGATGGGGTTCCCCATTCTTGGGGGCTTTTGTTCACTGAAAGGGGAGTTCCCTTGCCCCTCCTCCCTTTTAGGTTCCCCGAAAGCCCACCGATGCTGTCAACTACATTTGGCTTACACAGAATGCTGCCCTTTGAGCAGTCTCCAACTCTCTCGATCATCAATGAGCAAACCAGCGGGGGAGCTGAGTCACAGGCACATGATGTGGGGCTGGAAAGCGAAGGGGCCATACTTAGATAGGCGACCACGTAATCGTCCAGACCCCTGTACCTTTCCTCTGTCCCTGGGGCTAGTCCTTCAGGGCTTTCCGCACTCCTTCCTTGTCTTGAGGGACTCTGTATTTCTGTGTTGGAGGAAGGGTGTTTCCCTCTGCATACACACATATCAGAGGGATTGATGCTTTATGTGTCTTTTATATGGGTGTCTAATGCGTCCCTGGGTGTGGTGGTGTGAGGAATTAGAAAGCACAGAAATGGAAAATACTTAACGTTCAGAGTAGCAGATGAACACAGCTCTCACATTTGCATTTTCCCTTTCGTTCTGACTCATCTTCCCCTCTCCCCACTCTGTTGCCCCTCCACCAGCCTCACCCATTGACACACCCTGTCTGATCTAGGAAGGGTTAACATGTGCCCGCACCCATGTGGAGGGAAGGTGTGGTGGGTCTGGAGAGAGAGAGTGGGAGGCTAGTCAGAACATTTGGGGGTCCTGGAGCCAAAGGGAGAAACGGGAGCTTAGAGACACAATATTTGGGTCTGGGAGGGGACGAGGACTCTTAGATCCTTCTCCCTTAAGAGAAGCCTATGAGATGCCGGGTGCAATCCCAGCACTTTGAGAGGCTGAGGTGGGTGGATCACCTGACATCAGGAATTTGAGACCAGCCCGGCTAACATGGCGGAAACCTTGTCTCTACTAAAAATACAAAAATTAGCTGGGCGTGGTGGCGGGCCCCTGTAATCCCAGCTACTCGGGAGACTGAGGCAGGAGAATTGCTTGAACCTGGGAGGCAGAGGTTGCAGTGAGCTGAGATTGCGCCACTGCACTCCAGTCTGGGAGACAGAGCCAGGCTCTGTCTCAAAAAAAAAAAGAAAAGAGAAGCCTATGGGGAAGCAGACTGTGCCTTGTCACCAGAGCAGCTTACCAGTACCTGACTACCTGACTTGTTTATCTCCCAATAATTTCCTGTGTGTATATGATACACCAGGCACATATCATAAATGCTTTATTAGCTGGGTGCGGTGGCTCATGCCTATAATCTCAGCACTTTGGGAGGCCAAGGCCGGAGGATCATTTGAGCCAAGAGTTCAAGACCAGCCTGGATAACATAGTGAGACCCCCGTCTCTACCAAAAATTAAAAATTAGCTAGGCTCGAACCTGTAGTCCCAGCTCTTAGGAAGCTGAGGTGGGAGGATCACATGAGCCCAGGAAGCTAAGGCTGCAGTGAGCCGTGATCGTACCACTGGGCAACAGAGCAAGACCCCGAATCAAAATAAATATGTCATCAATATTTATTGGATAAATGAAAATTTTGCTATAGGATCAGGGATAATAGAATAATAAGAAACAGAAAAAGAAACTTGAGCCTTTCAGACTTCATCCCTTCCTCAGATTGAAGAGTTCTAAAGTGTGAAAAGAGGGGAAACCTCCGGGGACCTTGACCCCTTGGGCAGGAAGTGAAAGAAACCCAAGTCCTGATTTCAGAGAAATGTCATTTGTCATCAGCCCAAGAAAAGGAGGTTTTTCTCTTCGAAGACCACCACAGGTCCTTCCTGGGGTTGCCCCTTTCAGAGCTTGATGGGAGGATCTGAGTCACTCACACATCCAGCCCCCAGGTCATTCCCAGCCAGCAAATGAGGTTTCCCAGTACCAAGTCAGGGAGAGGGAGGAAGCTGGCTTCTGGCTCCTCCAGTCTATTCTTGGGATCCAAATGTTTCAGTCCTTTTTACTTCCGCAGCTGTAAGCTCTGCCGTCATCTCTAAGAAACGACCATACCACTGAATGCTACTGTGTACTTACAAACCACGTTCATATTCGTCACGTCATTTCATCTTCACCCCCACCTCCAAATGAGGTAAGCAGATATTATCCCTATTTCATGAATGAGGTTACTGAGGCCCAGAGAAGTGACTTGCCCAAGATGACTCAACTAGTAAATGGCAGAGATGAAACTCAGAGGCAGGGTTGATTATTCCAAGGTCCTTGCTGTCACAGATACACTGCTTTGACTCTAGGAGTTCACACACAAAGTGAGGAGACAGGAGGCTAGAGGCAGAACGTGTGTGTTCTGGAGGTAGAGGGATGGTCTCTCCTGCAGGCAGAAGGCAGAGGCAGGGTTAGAAAACCACACCCTCTCGGGGGGACTGTGGAAGACTGATACTTGGGACATCCAATGGAGGCCTGTGAGGTCAGGGGCGGGGCTAGCTCCAGGGGGGGCCCCAGGAGCCCCAACAGTAGTTCAGAGCATGCGGTGTCCTGGAAGAAGCTACAAGCGGTGAGTGATGGCCTCTCCCCAGCTGAGGCCTTCTTCCCATCACAACTCTTTCTGTCCCCTCCCTGCCAACCTGGAGCCCTCTCCCTGAGGTGTCCAAGTGTGGCCCTCCCCACCCCAAGGGCCCTTGCTCACAGGGAGCCTGCACCTAGGACTCTGCCTGCTGGGTGCTAAGACACTGAGGTTCTGGTTCTTTTCGTATCTGGGTTCCCAGCTCTCTTTTTAAAAGCCAGTGTGGTGGTTCTGATGTGTGAGAAACTCCTGCCTGGTTGGGTGCTTTCTATTCTTCACTTTTTGCCTTATGAAAAACAAATTAAACCATCTCCTTACCCGAATCTTGAGAGGAAACAGCCTCCCTGTCTCCAGTCCCCATGTCCCTTCCTCCCATCTCCTCAGGGGTCCATTCTCCAAAACCTCTCTCTATCAATGGGTCAGGAGCCTCCACTCCTGTGGCTTCTGCACCTGCTCTCCTCATTCTCTGGATGGGAATGTCTGGTTCCTTCCCTGAGGACATGTTCTAGAAGCTTCAGCTTCACGGTGATGACTGCCGGATGCCTTAGCGTCTGCGTTCCTGCAGCCAGGATCCCTATCATGCTGCCCTCTCTGCCTTTCAGGCACAACGGGCTTTTGGGGGAGGACCCACCAGCTTTCTAAGCTCTCCGGTGAAGTTGTGTCATGCTCCATCCCTTAGTGCCGGGGTTGACTGGGTTTTGTGGTGATCCTCGTCTGTACTGAAGAAAGCCTGGCTTGTGCAGAGGTGTTTCCCTGCACAGGGGCTTGGAGAAGCAGAAGTGGCAGTATCTGATATCTTTTACGTCAGAGGCTGCTAACTGGAAGACTTCCCACATGCCTGTCTTAAAACCCACTACTAGCTATTTCTGTTAACTGACTGGCCCTTGCTCTTTAAGTCCTGAATTTGGTCTGATTTCCATTCTCTCGCCATCATGCCTACCTGCTATGATTCTGGATAAGCTCCAATCCTCTCTTGGGTTACTTTATTTGCTCACTCAGGACAGAGGGCTCTGATCTAGGACCAGCAACTCACACTCTCTCCCCTCACATCCACAGGCTTGAAATGAGATGAGATGTTCCTCCCTCCCCTTTCAACCATGGACCTCACACTGTGGCCTTTCTCTTAGAGCCTCTGAGATTGGTACCCAAGCAAGGCACAATGTCCCTGCTCCCCATAAGACTGCCCAGCCCCTATGGCTCTGATCGGCTGGTACAGCTAGCAGCCAGGCTCCGGCCAGCACTATGTGATACTCTGATCACCGTAGGGAGCCAGCAGTTCCCCGCCCACAGCCTGGTGCTAGCAGGTGTCAGCCAGCAGCTGGGCCGCAGGGGCCAGTGGGCTCTGGGAGAAGGCATCAGCCCTTCTACCTTTGCCCAGCTCCTGCACTTTGTGTATGGGGAGAGTGTAGAGCTGCAGCCTGGGGAGCTAAGGCCCCTTGAGGAGGCAGCCAGGGCCTTGGGAGTGCAGTCCCTGGAAGAGGCATGCTGGAGGGCTCGAGCGGACAGGGCTAAAGAGCCAGATCCAGTCCTGAAGAAACATCAGGAGGAGCCAGAGAAACCCTCAAGGAATCCTGAGAGAGAACTGGGGGACCCTGGAGAGAAGCAGAAACCAGAGCAGGTTTCTAGAACTGGTGGGAGAGAACAGGAGATGTTGCACAAGCACTCGGCACCAAGAGGCAGCCCTGAGATGGCAGGAGCAACACAGGAGGCTCAGCGGGAACAGACCAGGTCAAAGGAGAAACGCCTCCAAGCCCCTGTTGGCCAAAGGGGAGCAGATGGGAAGAATGGAGTGCTCATGTGGTTGAGGGAGAATCCGGGGGGCTCTGAGGAAAGTCTGCGCGAGCTCCCTGGCTCCCTTCCCCCAGCAGGCTCCCTGCAAACCAGCGTCACCCCGGGGCCCTTGTGGGCTGAGGCCCCTTGGTTGGTGGGGGGCCAGCCTGCCCTGTGGAGCATCCTGCTGATGCCGCCCGGATATGGTATTCCCTTCTACCATAGCACTCCCACCACTGGAGCCTGGCAGGAGGTCTGGCGGGACCAGAGGTGAGTGGAGGGGCCTAGTTCCCGGCCTCCAGGCTGGGAGGGTGTGGCCCAGGAGGGGCAGCCCTGCTGGGTGGAAAGGCACCGCATCTCTACTGCACAGTTCCTGAGCTGGGGATGAGACAAGAAGCTGCCGCCACAGGGCATGCCGAAGCCCAGCCCTGGGGAGAGGATTTGGGACGCCCCCTCTTCAGGAAGAGGGCAGGCTCTCAGGTTTAGTCAAGGCTGTAACTCTTCCCCACCCTATCCCAGGATCCCACTGTCCCTTAATGCCCCCAAAGGGCTCTGGAGTCAGAACCAGTTGGCCTCCTCCAGCCCCACCCCAGGTAAGCCCCTCGATGCCCTGCATACACCTGTAACACGGTGCCTTCTCTGGGGTGGGGCTCCAGGAGTCCAGCCTGAGCAGGGCCCCTACCTCCCACTGTTCTCTCCAGGTTCCCTCCCCAAGGGCCCCGCACAGCTCAGCCCTGGGGAGATGGAAGAGTCTCATCAGGGGCACAAAGGTGAGTCGGGCCGGGGCACTCGTGCCCCAGCCCCACTGTAGCCCTTGATTTCCTGCCTGAATGGTACAGTGAGTTGACGCTGGGATTCCTGGCCCTGCCCTCCTTTGCCTTCTCTGTCCCCACAGGTGCACTTGCAACCTGTGCGGGTCATGAGGACAAGGCAGGCTGCCCACCTCGCCCGCACCCTCCCCCGGCCCCTCCTGCTCGGTCTCGGCCCTATGCGTGCTCTGTCTGTGGAAAGAGGTTTTCACTCAAGCATCAAATGGAGACGCACTACCGAGTCCACACAGGTATGGGCGCCCCGCCCTGTGTGAACTGTCAGCTTTCTTCCCAACTCCGCTCCTGAGTCTCCACCTGCGTCTCCACCTGCGTGTCCGGTTCCCGCGCAATCCCCTCACCCCGTGGCCCGATCCACCCCTAACTTGGCCAGCTTTCGCCCGCTTCCTTCCTTCACCCGCCTCCCCTTCCGACCGCTCTAGGAGAGAAGCCCTTCTCCTGTAGCCTTTGTCCTCAGCGCTCCCGGGACTTCTCGGCCATGACCAAGCATCTGCGGACTCACGGGGCCGCTCCGTACCGCTGCCCCCTGTGCGGGGCCGGCTGTCCCAGCGTGGCCTCCATGCAGGCGCACATGCGCGGTCACTCGCCCAGCCAACTCCCGCCAGGATGGACCATCCGCTCCACCTTCCTCTACTCCTCCTCGAGGCCGTCTCGGCCCTCGACCTCTCCCTGTTGTCCTTCTTCCTCCACCACCTGACGGGGTGTCGGTAGCGTCTTAGTCAAGAGTCCAATTAAAGAACGAAAAGCGGGCCGGCTAGGCTTCTGACCTGGCACCGCTGCTACGGCGGCCTAGCAAATTCCGCCCCAGAAAGGGCACCGAGTGCCCTCTCCTGGACGATCGCGGGTCGCAGAAGCCCAGGCCAGCGAGCCCTACAGGGTGAGGACACTGAAGTGTGCAGAAGCGAAGGTTAACAGTAGTGGGGGGGGATTGTCGATCTCATCACCATAATAAAGAGTTTCCTGTGCTCTCCCTTCAGGACTAGAAAGCCAAGTTTAGTCTGTGCACACCCTCGCCCACGCCCCTTGTCCTGTAGCGGCCCCTGGTGGTCCTGCGTCCGCCGTCCAGCGGGGTGGACACTTCCTCCGCCCCCGAGGCTCCCAGTCCTCCCCAGGAGGCAGCCGGCCGCGAGGGCTCGGTGTCCGGGCACACCTCGCGGCATGCCGGTCCTAGGCTGGTGGGGGCTGTGCGACCGCAAGTCACTCGCCCCTTCCAGTGCAATCCACGGCGCGCGGAGTCTGATCTGGGAGCGCTCGGCCCGAGCGAGAGAGGAACGTGTGCTCCGACCCTGCTTTCGGCCACCCGCCTCCTCTCCGGGAGCACACAGCCCCCGAGACCGCGGCCTCTCCGGCGTCTTCCCTCCAGGCCGTGCCGAACCGCCGCCGGATCGCGCCCGGAACGGAGACTGACTATGCCTTCCACCGCTCCTTCTCCAGCCCACGCCTCCTGCAACCGCGAACTGCATTTCCCAGGGCCTCAGGGTCCCGGGGCCCGAGCCCGCGGCACCCTGGGAGTGGTAGTCCACGCGGGCCGCCGGCCTCGCCAAGAACAATGGGAGGAGCCTGGGGCTAGGACCACACCTCCCGGAGACCCGGCAACCCGCTTTCCGGGTCCTGGCCGGGAACCCAGCAGTCCCAGCCCTCGCGCCTTGGCTGCCGGCGGAAGAAGCGAGGCGTCCAGACTACATTTCCCGGAGGCCCCCGCGGCTCGCCCCTCTGCGGCCGCAACGCGGGGTCTGTGCTCCCCAGGCGCGGTCCGAGGGCGCCGGCCGGCCGCGGACTCCCTCTCCCGTGGTGCCCTGCGCGTGGCCGGCCCGGCCCCCGGCCTCCGGCGGCCCCGCGGCGGCGCTGGTTGTTGTCGTGCGCCGGTGCCGCCCCGCCCCGCCCCCGCTTTCTCCCCTCCCCCCGGCCCTGCGCACGGGCCGCCCCTCCCCCCGCCTCCCCGGCCCCTCTCACGGTGCCAAGATGGCGGCGGCGGCGGGCGGCGGCAGTTGCCCCGGGCCTGGCTCCGCGCGGGGCCGCTTCCCGGGCCGGCCGCGGGGCGCCGGCGGGGTCGGGGGCCGCGGCGGACGGGGCAACGGGGCCGAAAGAGTGCGGGTAGCTCTGCGGCGCGGCGGTGGCGCGACGGGGCCGGGCGGAGCCGAGCCCGGGGAGGACACGGCCCTGCTCCGTTTGCTGGGGCTCCGCCGGGGCCTGCGCCGGCTCCGCCGCCTGTGGGCCGGCCCGCGGGTCCAGCGGGGCCGGGGCCGGGGTCGGGGCCGGGGCTGGGGTCCGAGTCGGGGCTGCGTGCCGGAGGAGGAGAGCAGTGACGGGGAATCCGACGAGGAGGTGAGGCGGTCGGAGGCGTCCCCGGCGCCGGGTGGGGCGGAGGCCGGGGCTTCCAGGGGTCTGGGTTGTCCCGGGGGTGGCGTGGGCAGGCCGGGTCCTCAGGGTTCCTTCGGAGAGACGGGGCACGGAGGGAGGGAGGCTGCATGCAGCTTCCGGGGGAAAGGGCCTCTGGAAGTGGGTAGAGGAGCCCAGGCTGCAGCCGGGCACTCGCGCCCGATGTCGGTCCCGCTGAAGTGTCCTGGGCCGATCCTTTTCGGCAGCTGGCAGAGCTAGGGCGGTGGAGGTTTGGGCGAGGAGGCAGTGGGGACTGCATGCCCAGCCAGTCTTGGTTGACAGCGGCAGCGTGGCCTTGGCAGACAGGTTGGAGCTGTCTGGGCTCTTACCTGTGGGCCGCCCTGCCGGGCCTCGCAACCTTCTGGTTTCTCCAGGGCCCCAGTTCCTCTTGGCATCTCAGGTGGAATGGTGGAGGGTTTCCTCTTGGGGCTCGGGCTGAACAGGAGTGGGATGAAGGCCGGGACTGGGCACCCTGGCAGGTCAGAGCTCAGCTCAGGATTTCTCCCCCAGCCTTTCAGAACAGGCAGGAAGGTGTGGGTTGCTACCCTGGACGCTTAATAACCACCTGAGGGCTTGCAGTGGAGCCCGTACGAAAGCCATCTGATGCCCTCCCTGCCCCTCCACTTGCGGGCCCCTGTTCCCAACTTAATTCAGAAAGAAATTGTGGCCCGAGAGGGTGTCAGTGGAGGTCCCACTTTGGTCTCAGTTGGACTCTGAGGGAATCTGAGTATGGGGCCTGCTGCCTTCCCTGAGGAGACCCTGTCGTCGTCTCTCCTGAGCCAGTGAACCATGGCTTTGGTTGTGCTGCTGTGGTCCAGCACTGGGGATCGGGGTTCAGAATACCTGGCGCCTCTATCCCTAGGGAAAGACCCTCTCTTGCACTCCCCGTGACCTTTGAGTCTTTTTTGTTCTTTTTAAATAGGCAGGGGTATGTTAAGTGGGAACTGGGGATATTCCTCGATGCCTCAGGTGGAACGAGGGCTTTGGCACTGACTGCTGTTTCTCCCCTCCACCCCTGGTCCCCTAAATCAGGAGTTTCAGGGTTTTCATTCAGATGAAGATGTGGCCCCCAGTTCCCTGCGCTCTGCGCTCCGATCCCAGCGAGGTGAGTGACGGGGGAACTCCACCTCTGTAGCGTCACAGGAATTTATCCTCGCCCTTCGTGTCAGCTCTTCCCTGTTCAACTAGTCTCTGTCAGTTGCCGAGTGTGTTCTGTGTTCAGAGTCCAAGCTAGTCTGGGCAGCGGGGGAAACACACAAGCAAGACTTAGTCCCTGCCCTCCTGGAGCGCTTTCCTCTGTCTGCAGGGCCGGCTTGATCCATCTCCCCACACCTATTCTCCTTTTAGGTCGAGCGCCCCGAGGTCGGGGTCGCAAGCATAAGACGACCCCCCTTCCTCCTCCTCGCCTAGCAGATGTGGCTCCTACCCCCTCAAAGACCCCTGCCCGGAAACGGGGTGAGGAAGGCACAGAACGGATGGTGCAGGCACTGACTGAACTTCTCCGGCGAGCCCAGGCACCCCCAGCACCCCGGAGCCGGGCGTGTGAGCCCTCCACCCCCCGGCGGTCTCGGGGACGGCCCCCAGGACGGCCAGCAGGCCCCTGCAGGAGGAAGCAGCAAGCAGTAGTGGTGGCAGAAGCAGCTGTGACAATCCCCAAACCTGAGCCCCCACCTCCTGTGGTTCCAGTGAAACACCAAACTGGCAGCTGGAAGTGTAAGGAGGGACCCGGCCCAGGACCTGGGACCCCCAAGCGTGGAGGACAGTCAAGCCGCGGAGGCCGTGGAGGCAGGGGCCGAGGCCGAGGTGGTGGGCTTCCTTTTGTGATCAAGTTTGTTTCAAGGGCCAAGAGAGTAAAGATGGGACAATTGTCCTTGGGACTCGAATCAGGTCAGGGTCAAGGTCAACATGAGGAAACTTGGCAGGATGCCCCCCAAAGAAGAGTTGGATCTGGACAGGGAGGGAGCCCTTGCTGGAAAAAGCAGGAACAGAAGCTGGATGACGAGGGAGAAGAGAAGAAAGAAGAAGAAGAAAAAGACAAGGAGGAGGGAGAAGAGAAGGAAGAAAGAGCTGTAGCTGAGGAGACGATGCCAGCCGTGGAAAAGGAAGAGACAAAGCTGCCACCACCGCCTCTGACTCCTCCAGGCCCTTCACCTCCTCCGCCCCTCCCACCCCCTTCAACATCTCCTCCACCGCCACTCTGCCCTCCACCACCACCCCCCGTGTCCCCGCCACCTCTACCATCCCCTCCACCGCCTCCTGCCCAAGAGGAGCAGGAAGAGTCACCTCCTCCTGTGGTCCCAGCTACGTGCTCCAGGAAGAGGGGCCGGCCTCCCCTGACTCCCAGCCAGCGGGCGGAGCGGGAAGCTGCTCGGGCAGGGCCAGAGGGTACCTCTCCTCCCACTCCAACCCCCAGCACCACCACGGGAGGCCCTCCGGAAGACAGTCCCACCGTGGCCCCCAAAAGCACCACCTTCCTGAAGAATATCCGGCAGTTTATTATGCCTGTGGTGAGTGCCCGCTCCTCCCGTGTCATCAAGACACCCCGGCGATTTATGGATGAAGACCCCCCCAGGCCCCCAAAGGTGGAGGTCTCACCTGTCCTGCGACCTCCCATCACCACCTCCCCACTTATTCCCCAGGAACCAGCACCAGTCCCCTCTCCACCACGTGCCCCAACTCCTCCATCTACCCCAGTCCCACTCCCTGAGAAGAGACGGTCCATCCTAAGGGAACCCACATTTCGCTGGACCTCACTGACCCGGGAGCTGCCCCCTCCTCCCCCAGCCCCTCCACCTCCCCCGGCCCCCTCCCCACCCCCTGCTCCAGCCACCTCCTCCCGGAGGCCCCTACTCCTTCGGGCCCCTCAGTTTACCCCAAGCGAAGCCCACCTGAAGATCTACGAATCGGTGCTTACTCCTCCTCCTCTTGGGGCTCCTGAAGCCCCTGAGCCAGAGCCTCCTCCTGCCGATGACTCTCCAGCTGAGCCTGAGCCTCGGGCAGTGGGCCGCACCAACCACCTCAGCCTGCCTCGATTCGCCCCTGTGGTCGCCACTCCTGTTAAGGCCGAGGTGTCCCCTCATGGGGCTCCAGCTCTGAGCAACGGGCCACAGACACAGGCTCAGCTACTGCAGCCCCTGCAGGCCTTGCAAACCCAGCTCCTGCCCCAGGCGCTACCGCCACCACAGCCACAGCTGCAGCCACCGCCGTCACCACAGCAGATGCCTCCCCTGGAAAAAGCCCGGATTGCGGGCCTGGGTTCCTTGCCGCTGTCGGGGGTAGAGGAGAAGATGTTCAGCCTCCTCAAGAGAGCCAAAGTGCAGCTATTCAAGATCGACCAGCAGCAGCAGCAGAAGGTGGCAGCTTCCATGCCGGTGAGCACGCACGGTACCTGGGCCCAGCGGCACACCCAGCCATCCAGTCTCCATTCTCTGCAGTCCCTTAACCTCCCGCCTCCCTGGACACTTTCCAGCATTGCAGGGAACCCTCAGAATCTGACTTTCTGTGATCCCCCACCATCCTTTGTTCCTCCCCAGCCCCGGCCCTTCCCCATGCTAGTTCCCTGTCCCTGTCTTTCTTTTTTTTGGGATGGAGTGTCTCTTTGTCGCCCAGGCT